TTCACGTTTATATCTTACCTTCCTACTGAACTGCAAACTCCTTGCTGGCAAAGCAATGTCTTTCTTACATCTGTATGCCCGACAGACAGGGGTTAGAAAATGTTTTCTGAACTGGATTGAATTTAACTTCAAGAAAAAATGACTTTGGTGTTCATGGAATGAAATAAATGTGAAGCAGTGAAATCTGGCTATGAATGATTTTTTTGCATTCCTATAGTTGGACAGAGCACGAATGTAACAGATGGTTCATCAAAAATAGATGTGAGATTTTAAAAATAGTTCTTTCCGGCTACGGGAATGTAGGCTCCTGCAAAGCTGCTGACATCTGGTGAATCAAGTTGCCATGGTAACAGATTTCCGGGTCAAGCCTGTAGTCTGGGTCAGCCCACCCCTCGGTCCCGGGAACAGTCTCTGAGATGGGTCAAGGAAAGAGACATCCTTGATACCACACACTTTCAGTCAAGCCACCCATACCTCGAGGTAAGAGTTCCAAGAAAGCACTCCTTAAAAACGAACCCCTCAGGTGTTCAATTCCTGAGATCTATCATCAGAACTAGTTTCTTCAAATCTCAGGGGTGTATTTTCCTGAAAAGCTTTACTTTTGTGTGCTATCATCGCTATTTCTCATTTCTTCTTTGCAGAAGCCACTGTGTGGATGATAACCTTTAAGATCAATATCAGTAGTTGCTGACAGTGGTTTTTCTCAGGAAGATGGGACTGTGAGAGATTTTCACTTTCTGTGTCTTATATTTCTGTGACATTTACATTTATTTTATTTTATTTACTTATTTATTTATTTAGACAGAGTCTTGCTCTGTTGCCCGGGCTAGAGTGCCGTGGCATCAGCTTAGCTCATGACAACCTCAAACTCCTGGGTTCAAGTGATCCTCCTGCCTCAGCCTCCAGAGTAGCTGGGACTACAGGTGCGCACCACCATGCCAGGCATTTTTTCCCTATTTTTAGATGTTTGGCTAATTTCTTTCTATTTTTAGTAGAGATGGGGTCTCACTCATGCTGAGCCTGGTCTCAACTCCTGACCTCAAGTGATCCTCCCATCTCGGCCTGCCAGAGTGCTGGGATTACAGGTATGAACCACAATACTTGGCCGACATTTACATTTTAATAAGCAGATTTTTGTGTGTGTGTGCTCAAGAAATGATAAAGAAGCTCAACTTCTAAGAATTTGAAAATATCTATATTAGTCAGAGAAAGCAGACATTTACTTTTATGTAGAATGAGAAAGTTTCATTTTTTTCAGAGTCCATTGAAGGGAAAAAACAAATTCTGAGCCAGGTATCCTGTTTGTAGTCGTTAAGGTTTGCGGATCTCATCTTCCATTAGGATTATAAGTTGCTTTTTTCCCTCCTAATGTCCCCCTTAGCATGAAGTTGCAGCATAGATATCTTTGCTCAGTGGAATTGAATGACCATGTTAGGGAAAAAAATGTTTTTCCTTGAAACATCTAGATAATCAAGGATATTAGCAGATTTTTTTTTAAATGCTGAAGAAAAGTTTCTTTTAGCTAGACCAACATTCAGAATGTCACCCTTGAGCCAGTCTTGGCAAATACTTATTTTATAGAACAAAGACAGCACTTCCAGATGCAAGGACCCTGTTCATTTTTCTTAAATAAAGAAATGTCACTTTGTCATCTCAACACTTGAAAATAAAATTGCCCTGAAGACCCAGCTTATTTGCAGAGCAACACTTGGTAACATTCTTTGTCTGACACTCAAATACCCTACCCAACCCAAGCTCCAGGTTCCTTTCCCGTCTCAGCGGAGCAGCACCAGGGATTCTAGTAAACTCCGTGGGAGACCCGGGCTGCAGTTGCCCAGCGGCCTAATGCAGAGCCTGCTGGGAGGCAGCCTCCCAGGGGCAGGGCGAGCTCCTTCTGTGCACAGCGAGGGGAAGGAGCCTTTGGTGAAGGATGCTTAGGCAGCAAGGATTTTCTCCCCAGGGGGTTTAAAAATTCAAGAGTTGGTGCTCTTCTCATTTCTAAAGCAGAAATTTGCTGCAAAGAAATCACCTATTTTTGGCACTTAGGTTTCTGGGTTTGGGCTCATATGGGTCCATCTCAGGAGACACGATCTCCCCCCACTTTCTGAATAGCTTGATAAATTGCTTGTTCTCTAAAACTTTCTGGTTCATGGGATAATTTTTTTTTAGAAAGATATTTACAAATAAAGCATTTGATCATCTCAACCTGACTCTGAGCCAAACTAGGCCATTTGTTTCTAAAAGTTCTACTTTTCAAAGGAAACAATTTGACTATCATACACAGTATGCCACCCAACTGAGCTATGATTACAAGCCATCAGGAATTGTTTTTGTAGTAATAGTTATAATAATAACAATAGCTATCATTAATGTAGATATTACGGTATGCCAAGCACTGGGCTAAACACTTCATGAGCAATACTCATTTAATCCTTACAACAACCTTCTGCTATAAGTGCTGCTATTATTCCCACTTTCCAGTAAAGAAAGCTGAGATTCAGAGAGGTTTAGGTGACCTACCCAAGGTCCTATGGCTAACTAGCAATTGACATAGAGCCCAACCTAGGCCAGGCTAACTCCAAAGCCGTTGCTTTTATCTGTAACGTTAACCTTCAGGATAAAAAGACTCTTGTCACCAACCTGCACCGAAAGTTCCTGGAGGGCAGGGGCTGTTTATTGACACTCATCACCCCGGCACTGCAGCATCTAGCAATGGCCCTCGAGAAACCCAGCAACCAATTCTTTTACTTCATAAATATAATAAACAGTGTGGCACCAACCTCTATAAGTTTATGACTTTTACTTCAACGAACCATAGCATTACTTTTTTCCTAAAGGCCTGGCTGAAAGAGTAACACAAAGGAACCCATTTAACATTTTGGCTCTTAGAATGGAATAAGCTTAAAGAAATTGCCCTTTATCTGCAGTGTACTGGGTTGAGTATTATCTCCCCCCCAAATTCATGCCCACCAGAACCCCAGAATGTGATCTTATTCAGAAATAAGGTCTTTGTAGATATAATCAAGTTAAGATGAGGTCATATTGGATTAGAGTGGCCCTGATCCAATGACTGGTGTCCTCATAGGAAGTGGGAAATTTGGACACAGACTCACAGAGAGGAGAACACCATGCAAAAACAGAGACGCTCAGGATCTATATCTGAGAGAAACCAGAAACAAAAGCAAGGGCACACAGCGAGAACTCCACGTGATGACAGGGGCAGAGACTGGGATGATAGTCCCAGTCTCTGGAATGCTGGAGCCGCCAGGAGCCAGGAGAAGCCTGGACCAGATTCTGCCCAGACACTCCAGAAGGAACCAGCCCTGCTGACACCTGGATTTCAGACTTCAGCCTCCAGAATTGTGAGAGAAGAAATTTCCATGGTTTAAGCCACCCAGTTTGTGGTTCTTTATTATAGCAGTCCTAGGAAACTAATGAACAGGGTCCGGCTTAGGAAGAATGTGAGAGAAGGTGCCCTCTTTCAGTGTGAGAGAAGGCGCCCTGATCCTCCCAGGTCAGGGGTACTGCAGATAGCCTGCCAGCGAGGGCTGCCTTATGCAGGTCAGAAAGTACCCAGTGGCCTTCCCTGGCAGATACAAATGCTGGTGACAACATCGCCAGCAGAGGAGGTGGGACGGAAATGGGTTGGACCACTTGGCTCAGCACCTGCGGGTGTGCTATTCAGCACGTGTGCTTTCTCCACCACCACCGCTGTGGAGGCAGAAGGAGCTGTGGATGTTCTTAAGCCACAGCAGGGTTCTTGCAGGGCTGAGTGTCCAAGACCAGGGAGTATGGTCACAGTGCAACCAGGAAGAGGGTGACATGCAGAGCATGCTGCTGATGTGCTGGAGTGCTGTCAGTCCTAACTGTCACCAAGAGAAGGCCAGCTAACCCACGCTGGAAACTCACAACTACTTGGTCAAAAAATGGGCCAAAGCATTAATATTGGGTGGATAAAGGGGGACAGGGGCTGGGATCAGGCTGAGCAAGACACGGAGTCAGGCAGGAATGGGCAGAGGCACGAAGGGATGCTGTCACTGTGGGTGTGGAGTAGACCCTCGGGTGGCCAGAGAGCTGAGTCGAGAGCCAAGAGAAGACAGGACCTAGGGAGCCTCCCCAGGGACAAGTGCCAGGGCTTCCCCCCCCACCCAGGGGAAAAATGTCAAGGCAGCAGGTGAGAGTGGCAGGATGAGAGGTCCCTCCCTTCCTGGGGCACCTGCCAAGGCTGGGGGAACAGAAGGGGCCTTTGGTAACGAATCTCAAGGCAGAGGAAGGGACAGAGACACTTTTAGCATTGTGCCACCCTGGGAAAACACTAAGAGGTCAAACCCAGCTGAAAGGCCTGATCATCTCGCAGGCCCTCCCTCCTCCTGAGGCCTAAAGCCTTCGGCTGAGCCTGCAGCCCCAGCCACCTAGAGTGGCACCTGATGGCCCTGAATGACAGGCAGCCCATGTGAGTGGATGCAGTGGGTTATGCTGAAGGGAAGCAATTGCTTAGAGGACCAAGGGGCTGTCAAGGGGCAGGAGGAGTCAGGGCCAACAGAGAGAGAGAAAGAGACTCCATTCTAACAGCACTGCCCATGAGACTGGTGCCGCGACACAGCCTGGTGGTCGCAGCTTTGGGAGGCGAGGAGACGCGTGGAGGGGAACAGAGGGGCTGCTCCCTGAGCCAGACAGCCTGGGGACATTGGGTGGGGTGGAAGCTACCAACCTGAAGTAGAGCCACCCTTAGGACATTTTTCCAGGGCCTGTGTGTGCTTGTCAGGCTCACTGTGAGGTTGTCGGTTTCTGTTTCACCCTTGCCCTCTACCTTGCAGGGCATTTCATAAACAATGGTGATGTGCCAGTTCAGGCAGCTCCACCTGCCTTGCAGCGCTCCCGCCTCGGTGGGCAGGGAGCAATGGCTGTGTGATCGCACGGCAGGCTCTCTCTGGACACGGCCCTGTGTGTCTTTAGCAGATTCCCCTTGGGGTGGGGTGGGCCTTCAGAGGTCAGCTTACCTCCCGTGCCTGGCACGCTGGTCCCACTCGGGTCATTCGGATGTGGAGCTGAAGGTGGATCATAGCCGATCACCAAGTCAACGGTGGCCTGGGTAGAAAGATGGAATCAGGGCAGGGCATCGGCATGTTGTACACTCATTGCAGACCCATCCAGCAAGAGCCAAAATCTTGGAAGGGGTGAGCGAGGGAATAGGAAAGTGAGATGGAAAGGGGAAGGCTGGTGCAGCTAGACGGTTCCTATCTTCCCACATGCATGCCAGGTGGAGGAGCTACCTGTCTCAGGTTGCCCAAGGGCAACCTCACAGACTGGAGTAAAGCTGTGACAAGCAAGTATGTGAGCTTGTAACAACAAGCAAGTGCAAACTTGTAACTCCGTCCTAAACTGGAGATGGCCTCCTGTCACCCAGTTACAATTATAGAGGCTCATTTTAAATGACTGATTTATTTGTTTGCTCATTGATTTATTTGATTATTAATTGCTGAGATTTATTTTCATCCTTCTCTCTAAAAAAGAACTTTAAGTGACTACCAAAAATGTATATAAAATTGGGATTCACAAAAGAGGATTAAAAAGGAGGAATTAAGTCTAACTAAAGAGGAAACAAATAGGCAAAGCATGAAGTTAAACATAATTGCCGTCCTTCCTGCATAAACTGTGACCCCAGAATGCCTAGGGGCCAAAGCAAAAAGGGAAACTGAAAATGTTACTTTATGCAGCTGCCATTATCAGAGAAGAGGAAACATCCCAGTTCCCTACAGGAGATAAAGTCACTTCTACTTAAAAAATCTGAGATAAATTTCTCATATGAGGCATTATTTTAGGGCAGAATTTCTTACACACAACACTTTTATATTTCATGGACCTATACAATTTTTAAAAATTTGCTAGAGAAAACCACGTAAGGTTGTTAATCTTATGTCATGTGTTTTGCCAAACACAGGCCTGCAACTATCATCTATTCTCACAATCATTTTGTAAAATAAAGGTATTTTAACACCAAAAATGAAAAATGAACCTCATAATAAAGGGAATCTTTTGTAAATAAGAATCACACACATACACACTCCAAGTGACCATATACAGGACATAATATGTAGGATATACACACTAAAAAAAGTATTCATTGTTTGTCTGAAATTCACATTTAAATGGGCATCCTATACTTTCATTTGCTATCATTGCTACATCTGATAAATTCTAAATAAAGAAAATGGAAAGCAAATAAACAAAAGCAGGCAGAGAAATCACTGACTTCTACCATCTTTCCTGAGCATCATTTCTCTCAGCCAGGTTTGGGTAGAGAGGTGTTTCAGCCAGTGTTTTGAATTTATGTTTTATGATTAGAATGCTGATTCATAGCAAGCCTGTAAGTTTTGGAGACTAGACCAGCAAAGTTGACATTGTCTCATATGGGCGTTGAGAAGCCTCGCCTGTATTCTTGTCTATATGATGTCCTCTTTTAGTGTAAATTTTTCTCCCTTTGCCCAGGCTCCCAAGCAAGAAAACTTGACTGAAAAATAAAGGGGTTAGAGATTATGGGCCAAGCATGGAAGCTTTGTGAGTGCTTCTTAGTAATCATGTGAAATCTGGGACCTGTGACACTTGAGTCATTTTTTTTTTAAGCACACACACTTGAGAAAGAATTCTGGTGTCACATCAGACAATATCAGTATGCACTTATTTAGAGAAGCTATGATCAGAAAACATCCAGCTACCCAGGCAATAACAAAAATTATGATACTACCACCTAGCTATTCCAAGGGAATATTAATGAGCTACATTCTATAGAATGTTTCAAAGAGTGCCTGAAACACAGAGCCAGAATAACCACACACACGTTAACACCCACAAGGATCAGCACAGAGCTACACGCAGAGCAGTCCCACTCACGCTATAGAATTCTGTCAAAGAAAATCAAATTTATGTAATTTGCTGGTTCTGTGATTGCAAGTATAAACTAAGGCCCACGACATTTGCAAATAGACCCATTTATCTCAAAACAAGATTTCTGCTTTTTTGTGTAATCAGCTAATTACCAGTGCATATTTTTTCTTAATGAACTTTCACTTAAGCATCTCACTGTCACTGCTAAGCCATTCAGCAAGAGGGAAAAGGCTCACCCCAGTGTCTTGCCCCCTTTCGTTTAGCAAGGAGATCAATTTGTACGGCAGTGATCTGCTCTGGTCACCGATCAGGTCCTTCAGGGGTACGGTAGCTGTGCCAATTAACCTGCAGGGGAACAAAAAGAGCACATGGCAGCCTAAGTAGGAGGCATTCTCGACTGAGTCAGGGCCTCCCAGTTCCCTGCCTATCCATCTGTTCTCACTAAAGCCATCTCATGAGCAGAGGTGAGCCATTTTGTTCTCAGCCTCGCAGGATACTTTGTCAGTACGCTTGGCCTGTCTGCCCTCCCTTCTCCATAACAAGTCAGCACTCAGGAGCCAATCTCTGGTGCCTACAAAATTTCAACAGTCATGAACAAGAGACAGATGAGTCTATACCCAGAGAAGTGAAGACTCAATATAGTGCCCCCAGAATCTAGGCAGAGAGAAAACTAGGACAAAATTCAGTAAGAGGGAAGGTGCTTATCTATAATGGAAATGTAAAAGGGCCCATAAATCTTTGACCACTGTAAAAGTGTTCCCCCTCCAAGTAGACCTCCTAGGAGTGTAAATAGGTTGCTAGTTTGCTGATGGGGCTACCTTACTACCCCATGTACTCCGGTGCAGCATTCAAAAGTTCAGTGTGTTCACTTTTCTTTCCTTCTAGACCCTGTGGGGTTGTATTCAGCCTCTATCACTTGCCCATCTCTCTCTCTTTTATTTTTACCCTCAAATAATTTTATTGTTGCATTCATTTGTATTCTATTTGTATTCTTACATATTGTGACTATATAATGCATAATTAATACATACATAGTCAGCTTGGTTTCCACGTCCATGGATTCAACCAAACATGGATGAAAGATACTTGGAAAAAAATTACATCCGTACTAAACACGTACATACTTTTTTTCTTGTCATTATTCCCTAAGCAATACAGCATAACAATGATTTATATAGCATTTACATGATATTAGGTATGATAAAATTAATCTAGAAATGACATAAAGTATACAGAGGATGTGCATGGGTTACATGCAGAAACTATGTTATTTTATATCAGGGACTTTGAGCATCCGGGCATTTTGGTTTCTGTGGGAGGTCCTGGAACCAATCTCTCAGGCATTCTGAGGGACAGCTGTAATTTACTGTGATAATTATGGACTAAATTGTAACTAGCTAAAATGTGGACAGCAGTGACCCAACCACTTCGTGTTTCAGACTGAAAAAAACCTGAGGTCCAAAGAGTTGAAGTAACATCTCCAAAGTCACAAAGTTGGTTGAATAGAAGCTGTAGTGTAGCACACAGGATCTGCTGACTCCCAGTCAATTATTCTTTGCTCAATATTATTGGCACACTTCTAATTTTATCTACCAATAACTGGCTGATATTTTAATTACTTTTTTCATATTAATATCTAACTTCTTGATGTCTGTGATTATCCCTGCATGTCAATAAGCCTCTAGCAAGAAAGAATGCTGCCCTCTAATGAGTCACACATATACAAGACAATTATTTATGTTTCCCTAAGGTCACCTTTTCTTAAATTTAAAATACAATCCCATGTGGAATAGAATCACAGTTTATGAAGTTAAGATAAGATAAGTTAAGTTAAGATATGAAGTTAAGATATGAAGTTAAGTTAAGATAAAGCACTTTCCCCTTCTACTGAGTAGACAATGCAGAGGAAGCTTGATTAAGCTTATATGACCTATTTGTTATAAAGACATAGTAGTTTTTTCCCAATGTTTTTTGTGTCCTCTTCTATGATGGTGTAAATGGAAGCAGGCATCGGGCAGATGGGAGGGAGGAGGAGGGGATGAGTATATACATACATAATGAGTGCGATGCGCACCATCTGGGGGATAGACAGGCTAGAAGCTCTGACTGGGGGAGGGGGAAGGGAGGAAAAGGCAACAACACACGTAACCTAAACATTTGTACCTCCATAATATGCTGAAATAAAGAAAAAAGAAGTGAAAGCTAAATAGTAACAAGAAATAGACTCATATACAGATGTAGAAACTGAGGAAAATAAAAAGAAAAAAATAAATAGACTCATAAAAAATTACTTTAAAAATTAATATGTCGGCCGGGCGTGGTGGCTCACGCCTGTAATCCTAGCACTTTGGGAGGCCGAGGCGGGTGGATTGCTCAAGGTTAGGAGTTCGAAACCAGCCTGAGCGAGACCTCGTCTCTACCAAAAATAGAAATAAATTAATTGACCAACTAAAAATATATGTACAAAAAAAAAATTAGCCGGGCATGGTGGCGCATGCCTGTAGTCCCAGCTACTCGGGAGGCTGAGGCAGGAGGATCACTGAGCCCCGGAGATTGAGGTTGCTGTGAGCCAGGCTGATGCCACGGCACTCACTCTAGCCTGGGCAACAAAGTGAGACTCTGTCTCAAAAAAAAAAAAAAATTAATATGTCAAAATATTTAGATCCTAATGACTTAATAGTACACCAAAAAAGCTGGCCCAAACCACTGTAATAAGTAGATACTGATTTTAAATACTTCAGAAGATAAGCAATGAAATTATTAAGGAAACATCAATAATTGAAAAATAGTAGGTAAAAATAAACTGTTCATTTTATAATACCTGCCCATCTGTCTCTTAATGTACATAACATATTGGGACAGAAGTACCCTTGTGTCCCTACTCATGCATGCCGCCCCCTAGAGACAGAGATTGTTGCCTGTTTTGTTCACTCCCTTAACCTAGTGCCAGAATATAATAGGTTCTTAACAGATAATTCCTGAATGAAGGAAAGAATAAATACATCTTCATATATTGAGAATGAATATCCCAAATATTTTTATAGTTAGGGAATGTGACAAAAAATATTTATAGAACACACATTCTCTAGGGACTTAGTTAATATGAAAATGTAACCTGTGGAAAATAGCCTGTAAATTGGGGGTTATAACAAAACACATTGGGGGTTAAAACAAAACACACGAGAGTAATAAATTAAAGAAGTTCCCTGTGAGAAACGCAATTGGAAAGGCAGTGACAGTCCAGGGATAGGCTGTCAGTATGGACTCTGAAATAGGAAAAGAGAAACAGTAAGAATTTTTAAATGTTACTTATATCCTGCCTACATCTGCAGGAACTTATACTAATACTTGGCAGATAGGATAGAACAGAAAATCATTACCATAAAAATAGAAAGCTAAGTACTTAAACTGATAATAGAGATTCCTTATATCAAAAAATTCAGGGTGAACATTTTTATATAACTTTGGGGCAAAATAATAATCAAGAAAATTCAGCTTGTACAGAAATAATTCATTTTATATTAAAATATAATACAGTTTCTTTCAAAAATCAGGAGGTACAAGTTGATTACTAGAGGTGCTCCAGGGACGCCAGGTGGCCACTTGGGGACATCATGTTTGAAGTGAGAGATACATAACCATACCCGCATGCTCCTCCCCTACTCAGTTCTCAGAAATAGGACTAGATTGCAGAGCTGGGGTCTGCAACCCAATCACATATATCCGGTGACTTGGCGATATTAATAAGTGACTTCCCTTTCTGTAAATAGATACATTACATTGCACTAGACCAGGAAATTGCTATAGCACCCTGTTTCACCCATTTACCCAATGATATAAACCTTTCGTACATTGTTTCTTGGAAGAGTGCACTTTCTTACACAGCACACCACACAGACACTCAACAACTGCGATGGCTTCTCATTTCTTCTGACATCACAAGCAGAGTCTGTAGTTGGCAATGCAAAAGAAATATTTTGCCTCCAGAGAAATAACAGTGAACTTTTTCAGCCTTTTTAGATCAATACAGAAATTAGATCTCCCAGTCAAGGCTGAGAATTGGTGGCAAATTTCTCCTGTGTTTTTTTTTCTTTATCGTTGCCACACATTTAACTTCTACATGTTAAAAAGCCACAATTTATTGCTATTATTTTTTCTTTAAATAATAAATTATCTTTTATAGAAATCAAAAAATAAAAAAAACATTTATAAAAATAAAAATTTATTAAGCCAGTCTGTTGCAAAAAAAAAAAAAGAAAAAAAGAAAAAAAAGAAAATAAAAAAAAATAAAAATTGATGGGGATGTTACAGACTTATTTTTAGATGAGTCTGTTCATTCAGTATGATTTTTTAGACTTTTTTACTTTAGTATTTTTTCTCAGTTATAATAGATTTTTATTCCCATTACATGTTGAGGACAGGAGTCTATACATTGCTCCATCTCCACTAGACAAAACAGGGGAACCACCAAAACAAGGTGAAAGCCCCTAACATCTCTTCCACATCTTTCTCAGCCACGTAGTATGAGCCTGAGAATTTCCACATTTTTAAAACAGAGCAAAAAGTCATGGGATTGGCTAATTGAGTTTTAAATAAGAATAAAATGTGAAAACCATAGGTTTAAAAGTCATCTGGTTTGAAGTTGCTGTGAGCTATGATTTTAAAAAAAAAAAAAAAAAAAAAAAAAAAAGTCATCTGGGCCGGGCGCGGTGGCTCACGCCTGTAATCCTAGCTCTTGGGAGGCCGAGGCGGGTGGATTGCTCAAGGTCAGGAGTTCAAAACCAGCCTGAGCAAGAGCGAGACCCCGTCTCTACTATAAATAGAAAGAAATTAATTGGCCAACTGATATATATATAAAAAAAAATTAGCCGGGCATGGTGGCGCATGCCTGTAGTCCCAGCTACTCGGGAGGCTGAGGCAGAAGGATCGCTCGAGCCCAGGAGTTTGAGGTTGCTGTGAGCTAGGCTGACGCCATGGCACTCACTCTAGCCTGGACAACAAAGCGAGACTCTGTCTCAAAAAATAAATAAATAAATAAATAAAAGTCATCTGACTAGTACTAATTGTTTAAATGAGGTATTTGCCTTGAGATGTGGAAACAAACTGGACTTTATTCCTCATAGTTCCATGATTCCTGGCCTAACTCTATGATTAATAATCAGGTGCACTGGAACATGTACTGATCTGCTTTTGCTGAAATCAAAATGACCTGAATCTCTATCATCAGTAAATAAGTCTTAGAACAAACAGTGCAGCATCTTGGAACAAGACCAAATTAGAAAGAGGGCTGGCCTGAGGTTGGACCAGCATTTCTCAACCTTGGTACTACTGACATTTTGAACCTG